AGCAACACATTAACAAGAGAATTCTGAGTTAAACCAAAGTTACTTTCCCTAGTAACTAGTTACTCTGAAAGTAACGAGTAACTTGAAGTAACTAAGTTACTTTTGATAGACGTAACTAGTAATGTAACTAAGTTTCTAATTTAAAGTAACTTATCCAACACTGGTTACTAGTAATTGAGATCACACCCAGCATACCGTCTGAATTTGATGAAGCTGATTTGGTCGTGAACCTGTACTATGTGACCCTAGCTCAGCTTCCACATCCATTAGCATTAAACTCTGTAGCAACATCCTAAGCGTTTTCCCTTAATAAACAAGCTAATAACATTTCTCAAGTCTACAAATTTCAGTTATTACATTTTTTTAACTGCTACTTTTTTGTCTGTTGAGCAGTGGAAAAAAAAGGTGGTTGCTCTGGGTGAAAATTGGGCCTGTAGGTAACGTGGGTTATTTTAGGATCTTAGCATCTCATCTCTTTAAAGGTTAACAGCTGGTGACTGACTGCAAGGCATTTTAAACTGGTGCTAAAACACTACCTGATATTTAGCATTTGATCTTATTTGGTCTGAGGTTGCTAAGGGGAACACCTCGTTTTGAAACTGTCAGATGACAAGCGAACGAACATATGAAATCTCACTTGTTAATAAGGTTAATAAATCAATAACAAGCAAAGAGACATCTCTAAATTCACAACCCTTGTTATGAGGATCTCTCTCAGATAAAATTTTGTAAAATGAAGAGAAATCTCTTTACCTCCTGGCCCAGTTTACCGTAATGTATTAGATAAAATGGGTCATTCATTTCAGTTAAAGTGGGACACCCTTTGAAATGTATTGTGATGATTCCTTTTATTAAAATGATTTATATTGTTAATATATTTGATTGCTGCATGTGTCACATGCCTTTTTTCCCCCCTATTGAGTTTTTTTTTTACCAATCGTGTCGGTGTATGCTAGTGGGCACAAATACACAGGAGCTCAGGTTCACTAAATAAGAAATGAAAAGGAGAGGGTGAAAGAGGCATGCTGATAAAGACGAGACAGATGCAGAAGTGGGGTTGAAAACAATGGCAAGAGTGAAAGGGAAAGCAAGAAAGGGAAAGGAAGGTTTACAAGACGGGATGTGAGATCAACTGTGAACTATGGTTTGGAGATGGTAACACCCACAAAAAAACAGGAAGCCAAGCTAAAGATAAGATTTTCACTGGGATCAACAAGAATGAACATTATATAGACATTATATGGACATTGGACCTTATAAATGAGCATATTAGAGGGACAGCTCAGGTCGAGCCGTTTGGAGACATAACTATAGAGGCAAGGTTGAGATGGTTTGGACATTTGCAGAGGAAGCAAAGAGGATATCAGGGGTGTTTAAATGGTTTTTAAAAATTGGGTGGCAAATGGGGGAGGGGAGCAAGTTCAAGCTCATATGCAGCCCTGAGTCCTAATGCAGAGTTATTATTGAAAAGCGGACCTGAATAACAATTTAAACATAATCTTGTTGACTTTTGAGGGTAAAAAAGTAATTAGACGTTTTACCTAAGTAAAAGTTATAATCATTCACATAAGTAATGACACTTGAGTAATATACATGATGTTACTGGAATATAATTATTGATTTTTTGATGTGTATATCTCTTTATTGTTAAAGCCGTCAAAGACTTTAATTGCTTAAATATTGTACTTTGACCAATTGTAATTTAAGTAATCTGCAAAAATATTAAGTAAAGAAAGCTTTAAAATAGTTTGGTACAAAGTGCAACAATCACATTCAGAATAGAGACAAAAAAGAAAAAAGGAAAGCAGCATAGTAGTACACAGTAGCGGTTTTAGATATGGGCGACACGGGCGGTTGCCCGGGGTGGCATCGTGGTGGGGGGCGGCATCACGGGCATCGGCAAAAAAATAAAATAAAATAAAATAAAATAAAAAATGCTTGTACTCATGCTCCCCCGACGTCAACCAGCGCATATTGGGAATGGCATAGGCACCGATCGGTTTTCTATCACCCATTTGCTGGGAGTAAGGACGCCCTTCGTTTGCGAGGTGCGCCTGCTGCTTGTGGCGCAGTGAGGAGAGGGCGGGGCGGCGAGGGATTTTCTGACCGGCTGGAGCAGCATCTAATAACCAACTCGCAAAGTAAAACAAAATAAAAATAAACCAACAAACACGAAAACACCAGACATTATGATACAGACTTATAATTTGCACCGATGTTTTTTCGAAATTCTATACACGAAAAGTGAGCGCGAGAGCCCTCGGTGCGCCTGCTCGCTGCTGAAGTCAAAGTAAACTTTATTGTCATCTCCGGCTACATACAGTCCAGTATATAGAGCAGGGGTCCCCAATCCCAGTCCACGAGGGCCGGTGTCCCTGCAGGTTTTAGATGTGTCCTTGATCCATCACAGCTGATTTAAATGGATAAATTACCTTCTCAACATGTCTTAGTTCTCCAGAGGCCTGGTAATGAACTAATCATGTGATTCAGGTGTGTTGACCCAGGGTGAGATCTAAAACCTGCAGGGACACCGGCCCTCGTGGACTGGGATTGGGGACCCCTGATATAGAGAGACGAGACGACAAGGCTCCAGTTACAGCAGTGCAAGCAAACAAAAAATATATGTAAGAAGAGTAAGAAAATAAATATACACTTTAGGACCAGGGGTAAAGGGATCAATAACAATTTAAAATTTACAGTTTGATGATTTAAAGTCTCACACACAAGCCGTCGAAAGGGGGGGGGGCTGCTGCTTCCAAATAGAGCACATTTCATTTATAATGTTGTAAATCCAAGCCCATTATGTAT